AGGGAGTCTTGGTTGCTGGGCACTACGGCTCCAAGAATACGACTACTCAGTGTCTTACAAATCTGGTCGTTTACACCTTGACGCTGACTGCTTGTTCGCCATCTAGTGGACCCCCTGAGACTTAAATGAAGCGCCGCCATGGTGTGCTCTCTCTCTCTGCTTTCAGCAACATCCGTGATGAAGAACAGCGCCGAGATACCGTCTTGCGTAACATTATTGAGAAGCGCAACTCTCTGACGCCCCATTCGTCTACTCGACTGTTTGTGCTTAAAAAGGCACTTTGTACCGCTACAATGTCAACACAAATGAGTACGAACTGCTCCTCATGGTGCCTTCCCACCTTCGTTCGAGTGTTATCGCCCAGCTCCATGACACCCCACCGCCGGTCACCTTGGTCTCTCTGAGACTTGCGACCATGTTCATCGCCGATTTTACTGGCCCAGGCTTATCGCTCTGTCTGCCGCTAGTTTTGTCGCATGCGACCGATGCCAACGTCGAAAAAAAATCGCCTATGAGTCCTGCCGACTCCTCCAGCCACTTGATCTTCTTATTCGACCCCTTCTTTCGTGTTGGTCTTGACCTTGTGGGGATCCGGGGCGCGCCCCGCGACCATTTCGCGGGCATTCCGCCGCACGAGCCACACCCTTTTGCTTTTTCTGCTATGGTAACGGTGCTGGCGATAGATGGCGCCACGTGCTGGGCGCGGCACGGGGTACGTGTGCATTGAGGGGCTCTCTCTCCTCCGTGGTCGGTGCCGGGTAAGCACGTGTTTCCTTCGTCCGCGTCCCCTTTGGGAATCGCCGGACTGTAGCCTGCCTGCGGTGGCCTTCGGCACCTCGAAAGGCGTGTTTACTTGAGTGCTAGCTTAGGTACCGTACGTTAAATCCACAGCAGGTGCCTAGTGCTTGAAGTGGTCGTACCACACCGAGCCGTACTTGCGTAGGCCTACGCGTACGAGGTTTGCCCTAACACTCGCGACCAGGCCCAGTGGCCATCGTGAGAGTGCGCAGCATAGCCGCGAGGGACCTTTTCCCAACCGGCGTGTCAAAGCTCGCCATGGCCAGCTGCGACGTGCTCGCGGTTTCCCCTTATTGTGAAGGTCTGCATGCGAGTGCCTTTGCTCTCCGCGTCTCGGGAGCGGACGTTGTACTGTTGTTCGGGGTGCCGCCATGGGCAATAAAGTGTTGTGTATTTTTGTATTGGAACACTGTCTGTTTTGCCGCGTCGCGCTAAACGCCTTATTTGATGAGCGGTGCGCTACACGCGAGTAGGTGGCCAAGTCGCAGCCCTGTGGCTCGCTAAGCGTGAGCCCGCAGTGATATTCGCTGCAGTTAGTAGCGGGGTCACAATAACCTCCTAGGCCCTTTCCCTCAGTCTACCTCCGGAAACAAATGGATAGCTGTCGCTATGGATCATACAACCCGGTATGCCATCACGCGGGCTTTGCCAACCAGCTGGGCCACAGATGTTGCCGATTTTCTTCTGTACGATGTCATCTTCCATCATGAAGCTCCATGCCAACTCCTCACAGATCGTGGACGCTATTTTTCTCTCCGAGTTATTGAGGCCCTGCTTCGCTTTGCTAAAACCAAACATAAAATTTACGACGACCTATCATCCACAAACTAATGGGCTTACCGAACGATTCAACCGGACTTTGACTGATATGCACACCATGTACGTCTTCTCTGACCGCCTAGACTGGGACGTTGCATTGTCCTTTGTTAAATTTGCATATAATTCCTCACGCCACGATACAACAGGGTTTGCAGCATTCTATCTCATATTTGGCCGCGACCCAACTCTACCTTTCGACGCCATATTTCAGACAGCTGTTGATTCGCCGACTGAATATGCCCGTGACACTATCACCAGAGCTCGCAAAACTAGAGAAGTCGCTCGGAAGTGCCTCTTAGCATCGCAAGAGCAACAGAAGCAACGTTACAACGCACAACATCGTGATGTCTCCTTTGCCCCGAGTTCCTTTGTGTTGTTGTGTACCCCGACTCGGCATGTTGGTCTCTCAGAGAAGCTGCTTTCCCGGTGCTCAGGATCCTACCGGGTCTTGCGTCTAGTGACCGACGTTATTTACGAGATAGCCCCGCTGAATCTCCCTCCGATCCATTGTCTACAGACATTGTTCATGTCTCCCAACTTACAACTCTACTACTCCTCAACACGATAGAAAGCACCGAGATGGTGTTTCTGCACCCGGTGGTCATGTTACAAGACTACATTGCGCTGAAGAAGCAAGACAAACAGCGAGAAAGACGACGTGATTCTGGGATGTGGAGCGCGCTCTCGCTTGCCATCCCGGCTTAGGCTTAGCATCGTGCAAACACATCTCAACTGTCACCTCGTTTCGCTGTGTGCCCTCCCGTAACAATATAAAGAAAGATCAGCATATATGTCTTGACCTAACTAGTCGACGCAATATACATATTTTTTAAAATTTAAGTAAGGCCTGTGCAAATGCCATATTTTTGGTTCAAAGGAAGTGGAAACAAACTTGAATAGTAGTCGGTGACTTCTGTTAGAATGCAAGTGACAGCCTGAAAAATATGTTCCGTTCTAAAATTTATTATACTTTGAGCATATAAGCCGACATAACAAGCTTTTAAGCTGAAAAATAAAGAATACATGTTCATTGAACCTTGAATTGGGTCTTCACGGTAGTGCAGATTTTTTTTCAATAAAGGCGTTATTCTTATTCATGATGCCGCACTCCTCCGCTGCAGTGAAACCACCTTTGCGAAAAGGTTACATGCAAACCAGCATACACCTATTCATTCATTTCTTCGACATTTCCAATAATATAAATCTGAATCGAAGTGAATTCAAATACTGTAATATTTGTTGAAATATTCGAAGCTTTTAAATATTTGCACAAACCCACTCGATAGTAATGAACAGACCACTACCACTCATTTGTCATGATCTGGCCCGGGTCTTGACGTGTAGTTTTTAAAGGAGTTTCTGTAATTCCAAAGTGAATATCGTTCACAACTCGTATTCAGGTCAAAAAGCAGGTTCGACAGCATTTCGACGCTTGTGTGCACATTAGACGGCTGCCATCTATGCTTACGTTTTGGCTTGCTAAAACGGTTTAGTGGGCTCCTGGAAGGCTGCTCCTTCAGCATATACTGTTATGTTTATGTTTTCCCAAGTAAGAAGTCACTGTTTTTTTCCCTAATTTTTATTTATTTATTTATTGCAATAACTCTTAGGGTCAGAGGCATTATAGAGGGGAATGGTACACTTAAAAAATACAATGGAAACTTCGTTCTGTCATTCTTGATCGGGGTTTAACTGCAGTGGAAGAATAAAATTGCACGGTTACGTTTAAATAGTTCAAGGTCATCTCAAAGGCAGTATATCCAATTACGTGCATTTTTCAACATGTTACGATACCAGACTACGACACTGTTTTTCAATCGCTTCATATGAATCGGCTAATAATGTTTCTAAGTATTCTTTTTTTTTCTGTGAACAATCATAAAGTAGAAGGCCCTAGATGCACCCACCGTTGAAACCAACAGTATGGAATTGTTCGGCTCTTTACTTGCCGGTCGATTATGTGAAGTTCCGTACTTATGCATTACATGCCTATCGCCTTATCTTTCAACTTGAATGGTTTGTCTGATTTTGTTTTTAGACTTTTTTTCTTTCTTCTTGTCTATACATTTTGCTCCTTTTTTGCTTCACAAATCGGGTTAATTCTTTGCTTTATATTGTCTTCATTTTTTCGCTACCGTTTTTTCTAAAATGTTTTATGCATCATTCTTGTTTGTAAACCCACTCTGCGACGGCTTTACCCGGAGTTGGCAGTATATTCAAATAAAATAAATATAAATAAAATGTTAGCAAGGGTGGCACCAGGATTATTTTACCATGATGAGCGAGTTCCTTCAGGGGGGGGGGGGGAAGCTTAGTCATTGTTTTATGACTATGTTTCCTTTCGTGGAGGCAACGGGAGGTAGGGCGGGTGAAAATTTTGGGGGAGCACCAGCCACCCCGTGCCCACCTTGGGTGCCGCCTTTCAATGTTAGCTGAAAAAATAACAGTACAAGTTGTAACTATGCAAGCTAAAATAGGACTGTTAGTGAAATTGCATTTTAGCATAAAGAAGTTTTAGTAAAAGTCTTAACGAAACAAACAAGGATCAGACTTTGCAAAAAAAAATGTACTAATCACATAATTGGTTTGTTGCACAATAGTACACTTGAGCCTTAAGTGTCATAAGAATGAGGAATAATAGATGTGATTTATTCTGGAAGATTCTTCTAGTGTTATGAGGTTCGTGGAATAAATGACCGATAACATGTGCGAGTCGAGCATCGCATGATTCCCACCTTTTGGGGATAGACAGAACGAGTGTCGATGCACCGTGGAGGGAAAATGAAGCCCTTGTGCAGGGTGTGACTATAGTATATTTTGGGAAAGGGACATATGCGGGAGAATTTACGGCGACGGGTGTGTGACGGAAGCTTTAAACAGTCGTTCATTCAAGTGATAGCTGCGGTACAACTGTAGTTTCTAAGGATAAAGCAGACAGAACTATATTGGACTAGCTCAAGAGCAGAGGTTAGCTTAACGGTGGACTGGTCCCAAATGAATGCAGTATATTTGTGTTTACTATCTACTAAAGTTTTGTGAAAAAGTTTTAAAGGCACAAGGGTTACCATTACTAATGATTTCGTTAATGTGAACAGACTAGGTAGGAGTGCTAATACATCCAGATAGCGATGGGATGGTATGAGCGGGACAGCGGAGTTGTCAAGCAGTGATAAGCAGTGGGGAAAGGTGTTCGGGAAAAGTTTAAGACTTTCCATTCAGTAGTGTTCAGGGTGTGGCTGTACTAATAGAGTAGCAGTCAAAAGCACTGCATCATGTAGAATACTTCTGGAGGTGAAAATGACATGTCCGATAGACGGGGTGAATCTTGAAATTGAGTGAACTCGGTATGCTCTGTTTTTGATGCCATGTGCAGGGGACCGCATGCGTGAAACCTCGGAAGCTCCGACGGCTGGTGTTGAGGCGAAAATGAACACCCCTATGAGGTGAGTTTTCAAAGCCATTTTTTTACAGTTCGACAAAATACTTTAGTCTTTACAGTGATGTAGAATAAAATATACTTGGTTCTGTGCTGAGAGTGATGAAAACTGGCATAGTATACTGCTGAATGCTTTAATCAGTAGTTCTGAACTCCGAAGTAGTAAACTCCATTAGACCTCTTAGAGGTGTCTGTAATATAATTTGTGTTCGCATGGTTAGTGTGTGTGTACATGCACTAACCAGTCATGTAAAATCAATGTATCAATGTAAAAAGTCTGTGAGGAGATGGCTGTGAGCTGTGTCGTTTGATTGAGCTATTCGTGGGTGAACTTTTTCTTTGTAAGAATAAAAATTGGCAGATCCCACCTACAGTGGCAATCGCTGATATGCGAAGCAGGAATGAGAAAGGTTCAATATGTCATTTTAAATCAGCACAACGTTACGAAGTGGAGGTAAATAATGCCATACATGACTTTCCGTCTCATGAGCGTAGCATGTAGTTATGTTGTTACATGATACGCATGTCACGATTATCATGTTTGCACCTGTCACATACCTTCGTTATTCATTCAAGTACGTAATACCAAGTTTGGTATATGTGACCCTAGCAAAACGGCCACGAGCGCATCATGAGCTTGGCATGTAATCATGTTGTTACATGGCACGCATGTCGTAATTTTCATGTTAGGGTCTGTCGTATGTGTTCGGCATGTAATCATGTCATACCATACCAGTTTAGTAACATGCCTTGCGAACAAAACTACCGCAAGAACTGCAAGATCATGAAATGTAAATCATGACATTCATGTAATGGTTTTCAAGTTGTGACTAGTCAAATATGTTCTTCATACAGTCATGTTATGCCACACCAAGTTTGGTATAGATACCATTATCAAAACTGCCAGGAGAGCTAAAAGTCCTAGGCAGATAGATGGATGGATGTGGATGGATGGATGTGGATGGATGGATGTGGACGGATGGATGTAGATGGATGGATGTAGATAGATAAATAGATACGTACAAAGTCGCCGAAGTTTGTTAAGAAATGCTTTGCATTTAAAAACGGAAATATTGGGAGTCATTTCACTTTGCAAAGGTGTCTTGTCATGCAGCAAAGTGGTCACATGGTGGAGTCCAGACTGGTATGAAAGGCTAAGTTGCAAACGTGGCCATTAAAGTTAAAACCACCGCGACAAGTCTACCATGACACATCAACGATGACTTTGCCGTGGTTATGAATACACTCAAACCTCGATATAATGAACCTGGATATAATGAAATAACGTTTATAACGAAGCAAACGAAAAATTGTCTTGCAATAGTGTTTAGAATATATACCTTTATAACGAATTTTTGGATATAGTGAACTTTTTTATGCAACATTTAATTTCATTATAGTGCGGTTTGAATGTAGGCTTCATTGCAACGCGCAACATACGAAAGCCAGCTTACAAAAATAAAGGCTATGCCCATTCTCTTAAAGCAGCCTTTGCCTGTAAACACGAACGCTTACTGGGAAGAAATGGCTTCCGGACGATATAACCCCTTTAGCAATGGTGTGTGCAGCTGTACACGTAAACTACGCGAGCACATTGCGCACCGCGTGTTTCTTCAAACTGCCTGAAACGGAGTGTGTGCATTTGCGCAGGCTTTGTTATGGACAGCTAGTTAAGTCGTTCTTCTGCGTGTTGTCGAACAGGGTCGTTGTGCTGACGTTTCCATGTCTAATGATTGTTTGACATGCCTCGTTCCAGGACCAATGTAAACATCTGCAAAGCAAACTGGGTGTACGTATATTTTGAGCCTAGAGTTTAGTTCTTCTTGTGCAGCTATGAAATATAGGTAATTGTGTTATAATTAGATGTACAATGAGATGCTAATGACAATTAATTACAGAAATGTGCACATAACAGCAGGTTACCTCATTTCCTCTACTAGAATGCGGTATAGTGCATTGAAGATGAGTGTATCGTGTTGAGACACATTTTCAGTCTATCATAATGGTCGTCTGAAGGGAATCAAGTCGCATGGAAATGTGATGGCACTAGAATGTTTTTATTTTATTGTTTGACGTTTTCTTGGGGCACTGTTTGACAAAACAACACTTGGAATACAAATGACGCCATTGCTCTGCAGGAGGGGGAGCCATGGCGGTGGAAGACTCAAGGCATTTGTGTGGTTATGCTATATTCACATTTAGTAATCGTTGGTGTGCATTCTAGTGGATGGCAGTTGCCAGGGGTTCCTTGTCTACTTCAAAATGCTTTAATTAGTTTTTCCTTCTGAGCACAAACTTGCTCTCAATGCATATACGGCTTTCATCATCATCATCATCAGCCTGACTACGTCCACTGCAGGACAAAGGCCTCTCCCATGTTCCGCCAGTTAACCTGGTCCTGTGCTTGCTGCTGCCAATTTATACCCGCAAACTTCTTAATCTCATCTGCCCACCTAACCTTCTGTCTCCCCCTAACCCGCTTCCCTTCTATGGAAATCCGATTAGTTACCCTTAATGACCAGGGGTTATCCTGTCTGCACGCTACCTGCCCGGCCCATGTCCATTTCCTCTTCTTTATTTCAACTATGATATTCTTAACCCCTGTTTGTCCCCTAATCCACTCTGCTCTCTTCTTGTCTCTTAAGGTTACACCTACTACTTTTCTTTCCATTGCTCGCTGCGTCGTCCTCAATTTGAGCTGAAGCCTCTTTGTAAGTCTCCAGGTTTCTGCTCCGTAGCTAAGTACCGGCAAGATACAGTTGTTATATACCTTCCTCTTGAGGGATAGTGGCAATCTACCTGTCATAGTTTGAGAGTGCTTGCCGAATGTGCTCCACCCCATTCTTATTCTTCTAGTTACTTTCAATCTCGTGGTTCGGCTCTGCGGTTATTACCTGCCCTAAGTAGACATAGTCTTTTACAACTTCAAGTGCACTATTACCTATCTCGAAGCGCTGCTCTTTTCTGAGGTTGTTGTACATTACTTTCATTTTCTGCAGATTAATTTTAAGACCCACCTTTCTAGAGAAGCAGGATTTCGAACAGGCTACTCAACAATTAACCACATTCATACTATCAATCTGGTAATAGAGAAATGCTCAGAGTATAACTAACCACTATACATAGCCTTCATAGATTACGAGAAGGCGTTTGATTCAGTAGAAATATCAGCCGTCATGCAGACACTGCAGAATCAGGGCGTAGATGAAGTATATATAAACATTCTGCAAGAAATCTACAGGGGATCAACTGCTACCATAGTGCTTCATAAAGAAAGCAACAGAATACCAATCAAGAAGGGTGTAAGGCAGGGGAACACAATCTCCCCAATGCTATTTACCGCGTGCTTACAAGAGGTTTTCAGAAGCCTAGAATGGGAACAGTTAGGGATAAGAGTTAATGGTGAATACCTTAGTAACCTGCGCTTCGCCGATGACATTGCGTTGCTGAGTAACTCGGGGGACGAATTGCAACTCATGATTACGGAGTTAGACAAGGAGAGTAGAAAGATGGGTCTTAAAATTATACGGCTTTACTGTGAAGCAAAACGTGCCCATCAGTGGTGGCAGTGGCTTGATTTCCAACAGATGGCTGCGCCAGTGCTTCGAAGTACCTTTCTTGGAAGCCCATATAAAAGCCTTTCAATTCAAATTTTTTTCACTGGAGGAAGGATTTTGCTGCGGCAAAATCCTCCCTTCAATGAGCTACACAGTATGTCTTGATGAGTACCTAAGTTTATGGATTTATGCACATTGTGCCTTGATGAGTACTCAAGTTTATAGAATTATCTGATCTTCAAATGTGTGATTATTTTGCTGATTTGTGTGGTACAGATCAACGCCATACCAAGCGTAGCACCAAAGACTCTTCAGGCAGTCATACACACAATGCTTCATTCTCTGTCGGATCCAAAACCCCTACGGCACTGCAGTAATTGCCAACAAGCCCAGCGCCTAGCTCAGTCATGCCATCAAAATCTCATTTCTTGCCATGGCAGCTTTTAACGCTAAGCATAAATGCTATGGGTCTGATTTCTGGCCACGAAATCTGCGCTGCAGTTGAAGTTAAATGCGAAAACAGCCATGCGTTTAAATTTAGGTGTGTATTGAAGAACCAAGGGTAGCGAACAGTGATCTGGGATGTCCTGCTATGCCATGCTTCGAAAATAGTTTTTTTTCAAATGGCACCACAGGTTAACACGTGCTTGTGATGGCACAGTAATGCTAGTGACCACTCTCAAGTGATTCTTATTCGCATGAGCAAGGATTGGGCTACACCTTTGGTTAGGCGAACTTCAGCTGTTGAAGTTAGTGATTTCTCCTCGACATAGCAACTGTGTAGATGCATAACACAGTTTTAGTGCGCATTAGCTGTGCCTGGGTGTCATACAGTAAGGCCCAAACAACGAAACGTTCTTTTTCCTTTGACCGCGCCCTCTCCTTACGCGAGGCTTCCTTACAACTAAGTACCGACGGAGGAAGCAAGCGTACTCTGAAAGCTCCCTTAACCCGTCCTCGCGGGAGGAATGGTTGTTGCGCTCCTGCGTTCGAGATTATCGAATATAAGCTTTGCTCACAAGCGCTTATTCTATAAAAAAAAGTTGGGTCACCACATCACTTCCAAATTAAAGTGTTAATATAGAGACGCGTGTACGCTTTCTTCTAACTATGATTACTGAATGTGAAAAGCCACCGTAGTCGAGCGCAAAACGAGGTGCATTCTAGCAACACTGAAACGCCCGCCTCTTTAAACGCTGTCATGGTGGCCATAACGCTGTCAGTCTTAACGCGCTTCACGAGTCAGACATGCCTGCGAAAACACCCTTCTCCGAAGACGAGAAAGATCTTGTCCAGGACCTTGTGCTGAAATACAAGGCCGTCATCGAAAATAAGCGTACGGACGCAATATCCATCAATGCAAAAAGCCAAGGCATGGGAAAAACTGCACGGACTTCAACAGCAGGCCCTTTGTGCGCCCTCGGGACGTCAAGCAGCTAAAAAAGCTGTG